AATCATCTTTTCACATGTATATTATTTGGTGACAGCTATTCTCTTTAAATGTGCATCTACCCAACAAAGGAACTGCACAGTTCTTCTTAATTAGATGATGAGAAATTCATTCCACATATAAGAAATTTTACAAAATGCAGCAAATAACCAAGTCAAAAATGTATATAAATACTACAAAAAAAATGAAGATTTACTCAACAAAAATGTTGAATGGATTGTCCTAGCAGACACGTTACAGGAAAATTATTTACTCCCACTTAAAAATGAATTTATGTTGAGGCTGGGGTGTAGCTCAGTGGTAGAGAGTGTGCTTAGTGTGTGCATGTCCCTCGCTTACAACCTCAGAAATGCCTCCGAGATTAATGAAGAAAATGATTTGACTAGTAACTAAGTAGAATAGCCAACCACATGAAGAGTAAGATACCAACAGACTGTTAATGCCATAGCCACGTGGCAATACTTAGATTAATAGAAATAAGTTAATTTAAATATAAGAGCTAGACAATTATAAGTCTGAGCTATAAGCCAAACAATTATAATTAATATTAAGCCTCTGAGTGATTATTTGGAAGCAGCTCTGGGACCAGGCAGGACACATAAAATCCTCTAGCTACAGAATAAACTGCAATAGCAGTATGTAAGAGAAGCTAAGTTCACTGGCCTTGTTTGTTTGCCTGTTATTTTAATGAAATCTACTTAGAGAGCCTTTATTTAGGGGCACATTTACTGGCCTTGAAAAGCTTCTATGTTATGTTGCAATTTGTGACAGCAGTAATTATCTCTTAGCAGAAGTAAAATGGGAAAATCTTGTTATCACTAGAAAACTAGATAGACATGAGTGAAAATAAGCATCAAGTAAGAAAACGACACATGAATATGCTGGAGATACAGGATAAGTGCTCTAATTTATCCCATCAAGTCTGCTCTTCACACCCTTTATTGCCTCTTTGGAGCATTGGTATTCATGAATAAAAATGTTACTTTAAAAACAAAACAAACTTTTCTTTAATTTGAGAAAATGAAATCCTTCTATTACAACTTATATTATTAAAATTTTAACTTTTTCTAATGGCATATAGGTAATTTGGCTTTTAAAATGTCCTATATTAGAGCAGCATTTTTAAAATGCTGATTGAATTTTGGGGATTATTATTTGACACAAAAATCATGGTGTAATGATATTATTTTGGTAATCCCTTGTCTGTTTCAAACAACAATCAACTTCTGAGATGAACTGTAATCCAGGACAATGTAATTTTAAAAGGACAATTATCATTATTATTATTATTATTGAAAGTTACGTGTGTAATGAAAATTGCTACTTCTATGTAGTGGAGATTTGAGCACAAAACAGTCCATAAATTTACCCATATCCAAACTAAAAAAAAATACTTCCAAGAAAAATTACTTGTGTAGGAACTCAGCTTGCAAGTAGGAACTAAAAATAAATTTTAAGGCTCTTTAATGAAAATCTCTAATTATCATTTAAATTATAGGAAGCAAAATTGATGGGTTTAGAGGGTTTAAGAAGCAGAATCTGTTCTAATCACTCTTTCCCAAAGCTCTCCCCTCTCCCCATCACACTGGTGATAAGGACCCAGAGTAACCAAAGCCTAAGGTAAATATGGCACATTCACAACTCTGGTAGCATGCATAAACTCACCCAATTCTGAGAGCTTATCAAAGTTTTGCTCTCCTTGGCACTACTGCCACAGATTACAGCTTTCATTTTAAGTTTTAAATCTCTAAGTTTTTAAGCTAATTATCCTTTCTAATTATAGAAAATACTCATTTCACATTACGTTTTGGTGTTTGGAGCACACAAAAATTCAAATATTTATTTCAAAACAACCAAACAGAAGGAGGAGAGTTCTGATAACCAGAGAAAAATGTATTCTTGTTTTAGTGTATTTCTCTTCATTGTTACAAAATAAGAAATGTCTGAGTGTATAACCATAGGTGATCTAAAGTAGTAACCCATGATTCTGCTGAAGACACAGAAGCAGGAGAGTGCTCACATGTGTTTCACTACAGAAACGAGCATTCTGTACGCTGGTTAAAAAACAGCAGTGGGTACTGAGTTCAGTATCTTCATGACCTAGTCAAGGCTTCAGTCTCACCTGAGTTTACACAGTTCATATTGTAGCACAGGGGTGCCCAAGACAGAGCAGTGACACTCAATTCACCCAGTTCACTTTGTGGGATAAGTTTGCTGTTATAGCTCTTTAAATAGGCGTTGATTCTCAACAAACTCAATCCACATTGTTGACCATCCTGGCAACAACTCCTTCCCCTCAGACACAACTGTGACACCCTCCTAATCAACCCTTCAGTGTCTGACTTCTAACTATACCATCAGGGTTGGAGCATGACCATTAAGGTGAAGACTGAAACTAGCCTTTCCAAGCATTGGATCACATTTGGTTTACAAGACATAAATACAGTGATAAATGTTTTTTAATGCCTAAGGAAACTTGTCAGATTTTAGGTCCTCTGAATGAAAATGTGAACTTTCTTGACAAAAATATATTAGTGAAGTGATTGAAGTGATGCCATCTTGTCCAGACCTTCCCCTCATTCCTGTGTTATGGTACCTTTAATCCCATAACACCCTGAAGAGCCACATCTGTCTTGACAACACATCTGGGACTCCCCATGGTCTTGACTATGACCCAGGTGTATAACCAAAATGTCTGTTGAATATATAACCAAAACCAATGTCCTACACTTGACATTGATATCATTGTGATTTTTTAATGGTACTTTTCTTTATAAATACTATACCCCTGAGCTTCATTGTCAAGAAATTGTTGTAGCAGGGAACCTGTTCGTGACCACCAACTTAAATAAATGATGCTTATTTGACCCTATATGCGCAGTGGTCCTTTAACTTTCTTGCCTGGACAGAAATATTAGTACCTGCGTTATTACACACATTCAGGTATGTGGGAATTTTTTAAACTTTACTTCATGATGAGTTTATTGATTTTCATGTTTTCTATACATATATGGTGAAGGGGGAAAAAGCATGGAAATTAGAACTTATGTCTTTATTTACCCAGAATATGGATGTCTTGGTCACTGTTCTGTTGCTGTGAAGAGACACAATGACCAGTGAAACACTTATAAAAGAAAGCTTTTAACCAGGGGAGCTTACTCTGGGCCTGGTATGAGCTTTTGAAACCTTAAAGTTCACCCCCAGTGACACACTTCCTCCAACAAGGCCACACCTATCCCAACAAGGCCACACCTATCCCAACAAGACCACACTCTTAGTCCTTCTAATCTTCAAATAGTGCCACTACCTGGTGACTAAGTATTCAAATACATGCATGGGCCTATGGGTGCCATTCAAGAGTTGGTTCTGTGAGAAAATCAATAACACGGACAAACATTTATCCAAACTAACCAAAAGGCAGAGAGAGAACATGCAAATTAACAAAATCAGAAAGGAAAAGAGGGGCATAACAATGAACACTGAGGAAATCCAGAGGAGCTTCAGTTCATACTTTGAAAAGCTGCACTCCACAAAATTTGAAAATTTAAAGGAAATGGACAATTTTCTGGACAGATATCACTTACCAAAATTAAATCAAGAACAGTTAAGCAATTTAAATAGACCTATAACCCTTAATAAAATAGAAGCAGTCATCAAAAGTCTCCCAACCAAAAGGAAGAGCCCAGGGCCAGATGATTTCAGTACAGAATTCTACCAGATATGCAAAGAACACCTAATACCAATACTCCTCCCTCAAATTGTTCCATACAATAGAATCAGACGGGTCATTGACAAACTCTTTTTAAGAGGCTACAATTACCTTGGTACCTAACTCAAACCCACACAAAGACACAAGTAAGAAAAAGAACTACAGACCAATCTCTCTCATGAACATTGATGCAAAAATACTCAATAAAATACTGGCAAATTGGATCCAAGAACACAGAAAAATCATCCAACGTGATCAAGTAGGCTTCATCCCAGGGATGCAGGGATGGTTCAACATACGAAAATCTATCAGTGTAATCTTCTAATATAAACAGACTGAAAAAGAAAAAAGAAGTGATCATCTCACTAGATAATGGAAAAGCCTTTGACAAAATCCAGCACTCCTTCATGATAAAGGTTTTGGAGAGATCAGGGATAACAGGAACATACCTAAACATAATAAAAAGCAATATACAGCAAATCAACAGCCAACATCAAACTGAATAGAGAAAAATTCAACACGATTGCTCTAAAACCAGGAACAAGACAAGGCTGTCCAGTCTCTCCATATCTCTTCAATATCGTACTTGAAGTTCTAGTTAGAGCAATAAGACAACAAGGAGATCAAGGGGATACAAATTAGAAAAGAAGTCAAACTTTCACTATTTGCAGATGATACGATAGTTTACATAAGTGACCCAAAAAGCTCTACCAGGGAACTCCTACAGCTGATAAACACCTTCATCATAGTGGAAGTATACAAGATTAACTAAAAAAAAATCAGTAGCTCTACTATATACAGATGATAAATGGGCTGAGAAAGAAATCAGGGAAACATTACCCTTTACAATAGCCACAAACAACATAAAATACCTTGGGGTAAAGCTAACCAAACAGGTGAAAGACCTGTATAACAAGAACTTTGAATTTTTAAAGAAAGAAATTAAAGAAGATACCAGAAAATGGAAAGATCTCCCATGCTCTTGGGATCAGCACAGTAAAAATGGCAATCTTGCCAAAAAGCAATCTACAGATTCAATGCAATCCCCATCAAAATCCCAGCACAGTTCTTCACAGAGCTTGAAACAACAATACTCAAAAGACCCAGCTTTTATTTCTGTTTCTATCAATTCTTTGTAAGAATCCAAGCAGTGCAACTGTAGTGAAATAATTCTAAATGTCATGTGTCCAGGCTTCAATTGCATCATGATCTTGCTTTCTCTAAGACTTCTTCCTCAGTTCATGGTTTTCAATTTCCTGCTGATCATTTTTGTACTTTTTATTTTTCTTTTAGGTCAACTCAGATCAAAACATACTCATGGGATAATGCCCAGGTTATCCTGGTTGGAAATAAATGTGACATGGAAGACGAACGGATCATTTCAACCGAGAGAGGCCAGCATTTAGGAGAACAGCTTGGTAAGACATAAAATTTAAAAGATAGAAAGTTTGGTAATTGTCAAGCTGAACAGAGTCACAGAAGAGAGAGGGGACGGTATGTAAAGTTTGTCACTAGACCTTGAAAAACAAGCTCTGTGTAAGCCACAAATGCATTTCTTCTTATTTTCTGTAGCTTTGGTCAAATTCGGGCACAATTAGAAACAAAAATGATAGTAAGAACTTTGGTCTTAGCTCAAAATAGTGGAAAAAATCCTAATTGCTATTTTATGAGAATCACAGATCTGCCTTCCCTGTTTCTTCATTTTGTTTTGCATTTTGTTTTGCATTGAATTGAGTACTTTATTGTGATCATTACTGTTCTCAAGTTCCTGTTAAGGATAGTAATAGCACATAATAGGTTATGACCCTAGAGTCTGGGCTTCAAGACATCAATGATGAGCAATGGTACTGTTTAAAAACTTTTTAAGAGTCCGGCATTGGTGGCACACACCTTTAATCCCAGCGCTTGGGAGGCAGAGGCAGGCGGATCTCCATGAGTTCAAGGCCAGCCTGGTCTATAGAGCGAGAGCCAGGATAAGCTCCAAAGCTAGACAGAGAAACCCTGTCTCAAAAAAACAAAATAAAAAAAGCTAAAGTTAATATCATCCTTTGAGAATGAGTATCATAACTTCTCCCTTCTTAACAAAACCCTTAGAGATAACATCCAATGAGATGAGATAATAGAACTTTAGAAATAGCACGTCTGTTTCAAGCACAAAACATAGCAGCAGAAGAAAATGCTACAGTGAGTCATGTAGAGTTTCAAGAGACATTTGTGGCTGATTGGTCAAGACATTTGTGATCAACATGTACTCAAAACCTATTCTGTGTCTTCTATTGTGTCAGATACTAGAGAGGATGCAACTAATAATGATAACATGTGATTACATGGAAAGACTAAAGGTGCGTATAGCAAAACTAACAAGGAAACAAAAACAGGTCAGTGGGGAGTCCATAGTATAGAAGGCAGAGGTGAGAGGAAAGGAACAGGGCAAAGTGGAGAGCAACAGGTAGAGAGAGAGCACCGCTAGTGGGCATGTGAGAGCAGGAGTGGGGAGGAGGTAGGAGATAAAGAAGCACAGAAGACACAAGCAGAGAGGATGGGCGGGGCTGGGCAGTTCTGCTTGAAGAGGTAATTGAGAGAAGATGACAAGAAGATGGGCTACATAGCGGGACATATTTTGAAGGATCCCTAGGGAAGGAAAAAAAATAAAGGCAGTGAAAGCAGATGTGGTTTTGTTAGTAAAGGCCACAGAGGAGTGCAAGACACCAATGGGAGTTAAGCTGAGAGGGCATTGAGCAGGAAAGTTACAACCTGGCATGAGCAAGTGGATTAATTTGGGGGACAATCCCTGTCCTGCAACCTAGTGTGCACGTACATAGACGATGAACAAGAGGTCACAAAACACCTTGACATCAGATGACACTCTCAGTCTATTCTGTGTCTACCCCGTTGCCTCTTCTGTAATGATGGCCTCATCTCACTCTTGATCACAGTAATGGGTCGCAACCTAAAATTTGAAAACACAACCATGTAAAGGATGATCTTAGCTTTGCTATGTTATTGGAAACATGGGCTGTGGAAGCACAGCCAATCCCTGTAGGGACTCTCAATAGATGGGCAGAGTCCATTCTCCAATCTTTGTTATTTCATTGTGATATCAATGAGCTCATTACACTGAAGGCTGTCACTGGATGGCCTCAGGAGTCCATCCATGAGACTTCCCTGAAACCAGCTATGAAAACATCATTATATTGATATTTAATCTTGTCATTAGCTTCTATATTCTCTGCCATAGGACCTCTCCACATGCTACCAGTGTTTGAGAGTCTTAGAAACGTAGTGACTTTTCCCAGTACCTCAGAAAGATAAAAGTGGACATGAGCATGTCTTCTATGTAAAAGTGAAGGAGAACCTAGGAGGACATTCCCATGTGGCTTCCTTGCACTCCATGTGCTTACTCTGCATTTATCATCTATCTGGACATCTGTCTGGGAGAAGGAAGTGCTCCAAAGAAGCAGGCTGTCTTTATAAATAAAGTCCAAAACTGTTTGGCACCAGGGAAAATAGAGTAACATCAAGAACAATTCAATGTTATTGTCGAAAAGGGCTAGGTGATAGCTTTATGTTTAACAATCTAATAAACAACTGGGGTAGGGGCGATGGAGAGAGGGTTCAGTGGTTAAGAGTACCAATTGCATTTCCAGAGGTCCTGAGTTCAATTCCCAACAACAACATGGTGACTCACAAGCATTTATTGTGGGATCCAATGCCCTCTTCTGGCGTGCAGGTGTACGCCAGATAGAGCACTCATATACTTAAAATAACTAATAAACTAAAATAAAAAAACTGCTGAGAAGATTATGAAGAGATGAAAATACTTCTGGAGATACTTTCAGTAGCACACTCGTGGGCACGTGCTTCCCCTCTACACACACACACACACACACACACACACACACACACACACGTACGTACGTACCCTCACACACCCTCTCCACACTGCACAGATGTGGGAAAATGTCTCAAATTGCGAGACAGATGGATTTTATGCTCCTGTGCAAATTCTTCCAATAGTCTCTAATTGATTTTTTTTTTGGTTCTTTAGTCGATAAAACTCAGCAGTTGTCATAGCAACCTGCAAATGTGCCTTCTTGGAGAGTCATTTACCTCCAGTGTGGTTCATTCTCCTCATGGCTACACACCCTCTACAAACAACCATGAGAGACAATTCTAAAAACTAATCACTCTCTTAATCTAAATCACAAGCTTTTGAGGAGTTTAATTTAAAAAATATTAACAGTAAAATTCCATTTCTGGGCGATTAGACAACTTTTTCTTAAAGGTTATAACCACGTATTGTCAGGTGGCTCAAAACAATTGCTTTACTTATTTGTTTACAGTTAAGTCTCCTTTATTGATATATATTTCTATATATCTTATGTTCATGCAAAGGAGGAGACTGGATGAAACCGTACCTTAGCTGAGGTCTTTGTAACTTTGGAGGAAGAGGGGTGCTCTTATAAATATGTTTTATTTTTTACCTCACCAAACATGTTTATAAAGTGTTTACAATATTCTGGGTACTTACGCAATTTGGTAGATGACCTTACCTTCTAGAAACAGCCGTCACAGAGCCGGTGAGTGACAATGTAGACAATGAGCATTTCCCTGTCATCCCTCTCCTGGATGTTTTGTTCCATTTGGCCCTGAGAAGTGGTCCCTCATCACTAATTCTGGTGTTCCCCATCCCGTCACCCTATCCAGCACTGTGTCCCCTCTTCTGGGTAGCCATCTCCTCCTCCATCTGCTTGCATTCCTGTCCCGCCACACTACTCCCCACATGCTTCCTTGGAAGTCCTTCTCTCTGAGGTTTTAACTCGACCTAACAACAGATAAATCACACCCCCAACAGTGAATCCATGATTAAGATTCAGGTACCTATCTCCCACCATCCCCCATAAGTTTTCAAAGTTAAAACCTAGGAGGTTACTTTATAAACAAAAATGTTTGCTACTTTCACATAATAGTATTTTTTTTTAGCCACACTAACTTCCATGGTAGGAGTGTATGAAGCAGGTGAACATGATCCTGCGGCTAACATTCTCCCTTTTTAGGCATTTAGTGTATTACAGTGCAGCCTATAGCATATAAAATGCTTTGCATTTTTAATTTATGTAGCTAAATGTTGTCAGTTATAAACAGAGTCCATCTCATAGCTTAAGTTTTAGGTAGAAAATCACTAAGTGTTCAATGAGAGAAAAGTGAAGATAAAGCTAAAGATACAGTTTTTCTTAAAATTAAATTAATTTACTTGGGAGAAAAAATCAACAACAACAAAAAGCATGGCCAGGAGGAAAAGAGTTTGTGTTGCCTTGAAACCAGAGAGAGAAGCTCAATACTTTAACTGTCTTTATTGTCTCTGAAGGGAAGAAATCCTTAGTTACCCAACACAAGTCAAAGAAACACTGTGGAGAAATTAAAATTTCTTTCTGCCAAGAAGTAATTACTTTTTATTAATAATTTGTAAGCATCCAATTTTGATATATTTAATTTATATTAATATTTCTAATAAAGCAAATCATGGATAACACTCCCAGTGACTTTGCATTCAAGTGAATTTCATGGTCTGTGAGGCTGAACTACTCAATTTCAGCCTCTTTCCTGCTTCTTCCTCTTGTTCCACAAAGGCACCCCTTAACACTTTCAGACAACCACAATACATACACACGTTACCATCTTTATTTGATCACCACTTAAAAAAAACTTCTATGTTGAGGCTGGGAGTGAAAAGTCTATCTTTTTATGTAGAGCTTCAAGTCTGCTTTCTAGTTCAGAGGTGCTTTCCAATATTAAGAATGCATAAAGCAAGCCGAAGGAGAATCACAATGTGAGATGTGAGTTTATCCTAAAAGAAAGGGTGCCTGCAGCTCAAGGCTTCTTCTGGATAAAGACTGACAGAAAGGCACCTTCTACATCTGTGAACTTGAAGCCACGTGTATTTGATAGTTCCTAGTTTGAGTAGATAATTTTTTTAAGGTAATCATCTTTTAGAACGGGGAAAGGTAAAGCCATGGAATGAGGTATTCTTTCATTCAGCAGCGTCCCTGGATGTGTGAAGTGAACCAGGAAGAATATGTCACTGTTTTCCAAAAGATATAGATAGATCAATGGAGAAAAATAAAAAAACAAAGAGATGAGACTTGCCTCTGTGATACTATTTCATCCTCAATGATCCCATGATTCCATGAAAGAAGCCTGGAATGATTAGTAGACATTGTTACTAAGAATGAATTCTTCTAAATAGTCTCACTCATGCTCAAATTTTCTCCTTCACAATGTATCCAACAAATAGGGGAGATCCAAAACAAAGATTGTGGACTGAGATGTTGTTTGTCCATCCAGTAAGGATGCAGAGAAGTCCACTGGGACTTCATTAAAATCCATTGAGCTAAAACCAGCAAGCCAAAGACTCTCC